TGGTTCGATGCCTTGAGCATCAAAAGCACGATAATCAATGAAGTTTCCTTCGGTGAAGTCGAGTTGTGGTGCAGCCTCGCCGTTGTTTGGCTCGTAGAGAATATCGGTACCATAACTTTCTCTGGTTGGTCCCCATGTGAATGGTGTACGGGCAGCAGGGTTAACCTTTCCGTATAGAACATCAGTGATACTGTTTCCACTTTCTTGTCCTGGTGCACCAGCCCACAAGATTGCAGTAATGTTCTCGTTGTCATACCAATCACCAACCAAAGTAGGTCCGGTGGAGTGGATAACGACGATAGTGTTGTTGCAAAGAGCAGAGACGTTTTGAATCAATGCATCACCAGAGTTCCAAAGAGTAAGGTTGTTGCGATCACCAATGTTTCCATCAACACTGATATATCCTTCTCCGGAGTTGGCGTTGACGAAAACAATGGCGGTGACTTCTTGACTGACGAGTGCTTCAATTTGAGCTGTTGCATAGTTATCCAGGATGCTCTGGTAAACAGTGCCATCAGCAACGGCTTGGTTTTGAAGAGCAGTGTCTGGGGTGACAAGGTAAGGGAAATTGGCGGAACCCGAACCCCAAGCCATGCCAAGAGTACCGTTATCACAACCTCTGTCAGAGCATCCGTTAGGTCCGTAGGGGTTTGGACCAGCATCCTCTCCAATGACAGCAAGGAATTTGGGCTTGGAAAGAGGAAGTGCGTTGTTGGTGTTCTTCAAGAGGACTGTTGATCGAGCTCCAATATCTCTGATCAACTTTGCATGGTCTCCTCTAACATCGACGTGCCAGTTGATTTGTTGAACATCCTTTCCAGCTGCGTAGTGGAGTGGTCCGTATGTATCGAGAGTCCATGAAGAGAAGTTAATTTCTGGCTCGTCAAGTGTTAAGCCAACCTTGAAGTAAGCAGCCATAATTCTCATTGCCATGTCGTCAATTCTCCATTCTGGAACGGTTCCGTTGATCACTGCTAATGTGAGGTTGGTTCCCCAGAAACTTTCTCCACTGCCGAAGAGGGTATCACCAGGCATGGTCATGTCCAGTCCAGCTACAGCGGAAGCTGCTCCGGTGTGTTGAGCTTGCCAATCAGTCATGACGAAACCTTGGAATCCGAGCTCATCCTTTAGCAAGTTGTTGAGCATCTTGGAGTTTTGACAAGCATAGGAGTTGTTGACTTGATTGTAAGAACACATGATAGAACCAACACCAGCGCGAACTGCGTCTGCGAATGGCCAAAGGTACGTCTCGTGCATGGTTACATCGTCAATGTTGGATGAACTGGATTCAGTGATGTTGAAGCCGAAGCCTTGTGATTCACCAGACTGACGGAAATGTTCCTGAATGTTTGTAAGTTATCGAAGTAGTGATGGATTGTGGGGGAACTAAAAGCATCCTGTATACTGATACTTGGAATTAAAAGAGTACATACCTGTTCGTTACCGATGAAATGCTTAGCACAAGCAATGATACCAGCGTCTTGAATACCTTTAATGGTTTCAGCAATTCCGATACCTGTCAAGACAGGATCTGGACTGAATCCTTCCCAGTTACGTCCACCTTGTGGAGCACGACCAAGAGGACCAGCAACTGGTCCGAGTTGCACAGTTACACCCTTTGCTTTATGTTCCTGGCCTATAAAATTGATTGGTCAGAGATGTAGGAACCAATCGGGGCAAATTAAAACTTACCCATGGCATAGCCTCGAGCATACATCAAACCACGATCAAAAGTAGCTGCAACCGATTGACCACTCGAGAATACCGAATTAAAATCGGTATCACGAACACCAACTGGAGAATCTTGCATACACATCGATCGGAGACCGAGACGAGGAACTGATCCTGCTTGACCAACACATTGTTCACCTTCCCATCTAAATGATCATCAGTTATAAATTCACCAATGTAAACGGCGACAAAACTTACCCAACACCAGTAGTCAAATTAACCTTTTCCAGCAATGTGAGCTGGGAAACAAAGTCCTTAGCCTTCACATAAGCATCCTCCCACCCGCCGGTATTTGGGTTCATCCATGGTGAAGGATAAAATGGGTCACTGGTTTGACCGAATACAGCACCGGAGTCAGTGGCAGGATCGACGGCACCGGGATATGTCGAATTTGACGACTGTGTACCAAGAGTTAGCAATTTTCGATCTCCTGTGATGATACCCGACAGAACAAGAACGAGATCTAATAAAGTCTTCATGGTGAAGTGGTGATGATGTGGTTGTAAATTATAAAATGATTGTAATCATGAAGAGCGGGAATCCAAAAGAACGAGTGGTTTGGTATTCCTTGCATTGAGAGAAATCTGGGTTGTGGAAGAAAGGGCAGATAGACGGGTAAAGGGAGTGGGAGTACAAACTTGACGGGATTGTTTGGTACCGCGATGCAAAGTACTTTCTTGTTGACTGGGAGAGGCTGCGGCCAGTAACCCAGCAACCACGAGTGAATATCTCATTTTGAGGAAAGAGCCACCACCAATTGAATGGCGATTGGATTAAATTAAAAGTAATTGAGTGAGTAGGTACAGACTCAAATGAATTGAGATGATTGATTGTACTGATCTCGGAAGAGAGAGAAAGATGGTGGGATGGCGAGATACTTTATATCCCAAGGGTAGCTAATAAGGTTGGCAGTGGTAGGTATGTGTGTCGGTGGAGTCTACATGTTCGCATCTTCTCTTGGATCTTGAGACCCATCAATGATTGATTGATGATTCAAAAATGGGGTCTCATACGTACGGAGTGCGTACGAGATCATACATGCTAGGTACATATCGATAAGTGTGAATAGCTAGTTTGCTCCGTCGGTAGGTAGATCTTGCCAAAGAAATATTGAGCTTCCCCAGTATATCGGCAAAGCGAAGTTTAAAAAGTTAGCTCCCTCGTCGAACTTATCACCACCGTGGCTCGAGTGGCAGACTATCATAGAACTATCGTAGACTATCAGACGACGTGCATGAAGTTTTGCTCTCCAAATGGTATTAGTTGGATGAAAGAGGCGAAAGATCTTCATGGGAATAGAGTTCCTGAGTAGGTGAATATTTAGAGTGACATGTTGGGCCAATATGTACGAGCTTATTACCTACCTAGTACCTAGTATGCGAGTGTGTATATCATATAAAATTCTATCAGTCGTATCGCGTCTGGTATGGAAGCTTATGGCCAAAGTTACATCTCGCCGTCAGACGCTTTTAGATCTTCTGAGACTGTCAATCCCATTTGGACTCTTTCATAGCATCACATCTCGATTATTCGTGTTGTTGTTACCAAAATACAACGGCGAAGAATACGGAAACAGACAAACAAACGAACGAACAAACGTCATTTCCAAGCTGACATGCATCAACGATGATGATAATATGACAAGCATGGATGAAGGATTCTCAGAGATTAATTGGCAAAGACTGCACTTCCAAGAGCTTAGCTTACCCGGCAATTTCTATCCGCCCATAGTAGAGATCGGAACAAACGGTGAACTCTCAGACATTGATCGCTTGGATGTCTTTATCATCAATCACATCATGTCTCTCTCGCACACTCTCGTTCTCGCTCTAAAAGTCTCTTTTCCCTATCCATGCGTCTCATGTCAAAAGTCATACACCATCGCATAGATCAGACTCCATCAAGTTATATTCAATCTTCCCCATCTTTCCCATCTTTCCCATCTTCACCAACATCAATTCAATCGTTAATACTGCAGCTGTACCTACCTCGCCATGCATGTTGACCTCCGCAAACCCCACAAACTTCATAAAATGTGGTGACCCGCGCGGACCCACATATCCACACACACACACCCACACACACCCATAGACCCACCGTCGGATGTTCCTCGGAACTTGGGGGAAAAGGCGGGGAATTGATTCGACACATGCTTGGTACCGTACGTGGATTTATTTGCCAGTCAAGTGATGATCGAATCATGAATACTCCACTTCTGAATGCAAATTGACTTTCGATTTTTCTTTTTTTTTTCGTCTCCTTGTTGTCCTGGGAAGAGAAAGACTTTTTACCTTCACGAGGTGGCTCCGTCGTGTTTAGGATTGAAATGAATGAATGAATGAATGAATGAATGAATGATTGATTGAATAATAGAAAGGATGGCATCATGTCTGATCCAAGGGAGATCGCTGGGTGAGTCTGTTGGGTGGGAATAGACAAGGCAATTCGACATGATGGGAATTTCTATTCATCATGGACATCATCATCCCCATCATCACCACCATCATCACCACCATCGTCACCACCATCATAACATCACGATTTCGGACGGAGACCCAGTCAGATCAACAGGGCACTTGAAGAAGTTCTAGAATCTGCGGTTGATCATCGGTTCACCCCCATTTTCATCAACCAAAATCCTCCGCAAGACAAACAACTCACTCGCAAAAGTTGTACTAAGCTGCTACCAACACCGTCCAAGAATGGCACTTTCGATCGGCAATATCTCAGATGTCCACTAAGAGTCTAGGAACGACATTTCCGCCCCGCCTTCCTATCGTTTTCTTTCTCTTTCTTCGCCATCCCATCTCTAGCCAAGCTTTCCAAGCTTCCCAAGCTTTCCCCGAACCTGTCCAGCCACAAAATCATGGATCGAGCCGTGTGTCAGACACTAATAACACTAGAAAGTCCCTACGTAGTAGTATAGGTTCGGAAGCCTCGTAACCATCTACACCGATACCCGACCCCGCCGTTCACACTCCCCTGGACTCCACGCTACTTCCTATCCTTACCAATTTATCAAATTATACCACTATATATCTCATCGGACCGATTACTGTGAAATCACATTCTCCTCTTCTCCTCTTCCCCATCATTTTTCCCCATGGGCCATGGCAAGCGTCGGAGTTCTCGAATAAGAAGGCTCTCCGAACAATCAACAGTAGTATTCTTTACCAATAAACTGGGAACCTTCAGACTTTCTCCCCCGCTCCCCGTGGGAATATGGCTAATCTTCGGAATTGGCGCACACGTACAACGGGGCCCGACTCTTATTGCAATGGTATCTGCATACAGATTAAGATTAATACATGGCAACCCAGTATTCGATCGTTACTTGCATTCTCCCATTCCACGGACAACGCAATCAAGCGATTCGGGTATGTAGCGTGGAAGAAGATACTCCCGGTTATTCCGATGATGCTCACGATGAATCTCGAGAGAGGGCTTACTGTTCAGTGGCGGTGACCATTTTGATCATGAGGGTTGTGAATATGAGAAATCTTATTGTTCAATCCGGAATCTTCGGATCTTGGAGCATACTTAGTAGTGTACTGTACTTGGTTTATCACTGAGAGTTAGCAGTCGAGCTTTGCAGGACGTCTTCTACTTCACCATCTTATTCTTCTCCAATCCCTTGACTAGGTCAGGGATATGCGATTATCGGAGATGATGTGCCAATTCAAACATTAAACGAGCCTCGGGAGATGTATGATCATGATTTCTAATATTCTGAATTACAATCCAACACTCACATACTTTCAATGTTTGAGGGCGACACAGACATCCGGGTAGAATTGAATACTCATTTCAAGGGCTCACATTGAACTCTGCGAGTAGTAATTACATTATCATAGAGCTAAAAGTCTATCAATGTTTCGCTGGCATTATCTATATCGCAAATGTATTCATTTCGCTTGCTTTACACTTTTCAAAGTATTCTCGCCTCCCTCTATCAATTCTTCTCTATACCACCCTCCGTCCCATCCATGAGCTTTTTATACCTCTCTAAGTCTTCTTCCGTTTCGAAGATATATCTTCCAGCTTCTCATACAATACCTTTGTCGCTCTAAGTCCTTCAGTCATAATACGCGGAGTTGGTTTTGGCTCCAACTCATGACCAAACGACGAAGCATCAACCCGTGATGGTTGCTCTGGACTTATTCTATCAGTGCGTGACTTGGCTTGGCCCCATCCATGCCTTGCTCTTACCGGTTCCACATCATCATGGTGTAGAATTGATCGAGGAACTCGCCATGGAAAATGTGCCGGTTTTGGGATTGTTATTGGCGCGGATCTCGGAGTGTATTCAAGTTCTTCCCTTGAAGAGGCCGAGTTCGAGGCTACATCATATTCGCCCGTTTCTGAGACAATTTTAGCGGTCTCAAAGCCATTCCTTCCTTCTACTTTTCTCCCATCTGATATTGAAGAATGGTCTCCGCGCCCTCCCTTCATTTGCTCTAGAAGTACCTGATCATCTACTGGTTCAATCATTGCCCTATTAAGATTGGCTTCATTGAGCGATGAGGTAAGTATTGATCTCCCATCTACCACGCCACTCCGCCGTCTGTCTGCTTTCACTGCCACTCCATCGTGAGTCACCTGATACTGCTCCGCGCGATCACCACTGGCTCGATTTGGGGAATTTTGATTCAGAGGTTCTTGGTTCTCTGCTGATCCGTTCTCTACCATGGTATCATTTGAGTCCAAACGGTCTTCTACCATTTCTTCTAATTCCTTTTTTCTTTTTAAATCCTTCCGTACCTTCTCTTTCATCTGCGCTCCAGGTATATCTTGCTTCTTCACATACGCTCTCATTGTTCCTGTGTCTTCGTCATCTCCATCATGCCCTTCGGAATCATTAGAATTCGGCAAATTATCTTCGCGGAACGATAGTGCGAGGGAATATACGAGGCTGAGAGGTTGCGAATCATCCGCTTCGCTTGATGAATGCCTCGACATAGCTTTTCCTGATTTCGCTGGTGATAATGGATTCATTTTCCAGCAAGAGATGCACGAGTTAGGAGAACAGGTAGAAAGATAACAAATCGATAATAGATCTGTAACTACGTCTTTTGCAATAATGGGTGAGTATGGATTAAATATCTGATGTTGGAAAAGAAATGAGGGGAGTATCGATATTTTTCACACTTACACATCCATCAGTGTTCCGCTTCGGGAAAGATCGATGAACGTTTTATCAAAAATATCACAGAATATACATTGAGCAAGTACAATTCTATTATTGCTCTTGGATGTCTGTAGTGTTAGACATTTTTAGTATTGATCTCTATACAATAATTACTTTCATCCACGGTAAGAAGAGTATTGATATATGTCTATTCTTCCAAGTCTTCCTTTTTCCTTCTACTTCCTTTACTAACCTCGCTCTCTTTTTTGCTTTTCGCTTCTTCACTCCGTAGTGGGAAAATTCCTCAATGTAGCTTTAGACTCTGGAGCTCTGAATCCGAATCCGAATCTAAATACGAGGTAAAGAACCCAGAGATTTTATGACATTATCCAAACGAAATGAGCGAGAAATTGAAAGTTATACTGGCTGGCTGAATGATGAAGAGATGAATACAAGATTAGCAGATTCGGAGACTACCATATAATCATTGAATAGAGTATGTCTATATATTATCCATTCATTCATTCATTCATCCATCCCGCTTCCACACATATCAGAATTGAGAACTCTTTTTTGGGTTAATCGTATTCCAATGCAATGTAATGCAGGTCTTCCTCCTAGTTTCCCATCTCCAATCTCAAACTTGGAACTTGAAACTTGGAATTCCAACTTTATAGAATAAAAGAAAATAGATGAGAATGGAATACATAAACCCCCCGCCATGCAGCCAAGATACCTTTTCCCGCTTGATTACGATTACGGTTACGATTACGATTGATCTGGATTTACACTCTCTCTTTCCATATGCTCAAAGATGATGTGTTTCTTGTGATCTGTTGGTTTACTAGGCTTGAGAAATGATACTATGTAGATGGCAGATAGATATTCAATACTCGCTAGAGGAATGGAAAATTTCTTTACTTACTTAATTTTTCGCGAATAGTTTGAGATGATCACGCGGTCTACGTGTTATATTTAATGTATCGCATACACTTCTCTCTCTCTCTCTCTCTCTCTCTCTCCCTATTTTGCTTCTCTCTCCTTGCTTTTTGTTCCTCCTCCGAGCCCATACGCAAAAGAGGGTTGGAGATTCCACGAATTTATCTCCCTCCTGTAAGTCATGAGTATCAGACGAGAGATGGGGAAATACTCATTTCTCTTTAGGCTTGTACTCATACTCATACTCATACTCTCGACGCTTGAGAATTCAAAATAAAGTATTGGTGGCGGTGGTGTTTTTGTTGTGAGATGTACTAGGTGTGGAGTGTATCTGTGATGTCTTTTCTATATATAGAAACTGGGAGGGGTGTGGGATGGTTGAGTGTGTGTGTGTGAGAGAGAGAGGGGGGGGGAGGTAGGTTTCAGATGATTATAATTTTATCGGCTAGGAATTTTGTGAGGTTTTGAAGGGAAGAGTGATTTTAAGGAAATGATGGGAGTAGAGGTAGTTCTTTGGAGAAAGGGGGAGGGGGTTGAAGATCTGAATGGATGAGGTATCCAGTGTAGAGGAGGGAGTAGATACGGCAAGAGAGGTTAGCTCACGAGAAAAATATTTCTGTACAGAGGATAGGTAGTCAGTAAGTAAGTCCCCTACTAGTAATCACGAAATGAGTTGGTCATTCGATGAAGTATACTATACCAATAGTTTGATATCTGAAAAGGAATTGAAGAGCTCTCTATTGTCTACCAACTGGGTACAGAAGACAAAAGGGATGATATGAGTAACAAGAAGCGAAGATGTCGCGTGTGTTTTTCGAGAGTGGAGAGGGGGTTAGATTGATAGTGGAGAGTCTTAGCTAGCTCATTATTAAGAATACCTAGGTGAGTATCATATGTAGCAAGTAATTTCAATAATAAGCTAGATATTGCGATAGTGAGATATTTGTTTATACCTCGTCACTTTTAAAAAAATAGGAGATCGTATGATAATCACAAAAATGCGTGTTCTGTTTGAGATACTCCTGAATGCAGAGTCTAGATGATAGAGATTAAGCGCGGGGAATGATATATATATCTATTCGGCTACTTTTGACCGTCTCTTCTTGATATAACTTTAGTGTTTTATCCTTCATATTTCTTATGTTGAGAAGATATGTATATGACCCCCCCCCCGCCGGAAATTATTGTTCTCTTTTTGAATGCCTACGTACAACTATCTACCGCGAGTCAGACTCACAACCAGGGGAATCTCACTCCTTTAAACTCGCTATTATTATAGGGATATCTATCCCTCGATTATATAATCTAAAAGGGTATACAACTTGTTTATATACCCATACCTATCTTAGCACTGCTCAATGCTGATACTATAAATTAATCAGTCACATTACACATTACACCAAGACCGAATCTGCAACTTTCCAACGGAAAGTCCGTATGAAACCAAACGAGCAATCAAAGCTATCTGAATGTTCCAAATTTTTGTGATTCTAAGAGCGGATTTGTGTATACGATGTGAACGGTAGATGTATGTATGAAAGTGGAAAACGGACGATGAAAATGAGTTGGCGTAGTGTGAGAACCTCATTGATATCGATACTTTTGGAGATGGTACTGTAATTCTTGGATATAACAATGATAGATAAATGACCATAGGTGTGTTTGAAGGAGATATTCGAAATGCAAATGAAGAACAGATTTTCCATTGGCTACCAACATAATTCATCACTGAATGATGAATCACACAGGTGGAAACCTTGTGTCTCTCAAAGTTCTGATATAGTGGATGATATTTACATCTAAATCCACATCGGAAGGTTGTAATGGGAGGGAAATGGAGTTATTGTGATAATTGCCCCCAGAACTCAATACTGGAAATGAGATTCTACTCTGATTGAGGAACGACTCCTTTCTGGGAACAATATTCACTGGGAGTATAGAGATATTGTCGACGCAGCGAGAAAGATCTTTGTGGTAGAATACTACGTAGCCAAAGTATTTCTCATGTGGAATGGGACAAGATCGGAATTGCGAACTCGGGGTTAGCTTCAGATGACTTGTGGGTAATGACTTGGAATGAGGAAGATGGACCAGGACTACGCTTAAGTGAAGAATAATAATATCAACAGTAACAGCTATGGCCATCCGGCAGTAAAGGAATAGTAATGATGGGTGGTTTTGTAACACCAAGTATCAGTTGATGTCGGGAGACCTTCCAAGTGTATACCAGACTTGTCTCATCTACACAGGTTTGTAGCAGTTGTATGGTTAAAGATACTAGGATTTTAGGAGAGGCGATAGATAGTAAGGAAGCTTGGTCTTTATAATTCTGTCAGGGAACTGCACGCGAGGTTTGGATGGAATGGACATACGAATGAGATGGTATCACTTTGACCATATATAACACATATCGCCAATCCCAGTGAACTTGGAGCTAGTAGAGTAAATCATCAATGTAGCTTCTACACACGTTTTGTTTGTTATAAAATGAAGGGTCCGCATGTAATCCTGACCTCAGGGCGATTCTCGCAATCTTCGATGAATAGACGACATACTTGGACTGAAGATGTTATCATAAGAATTTGGTAAATGCAATACTAGAAGGCGAATGTGCCCCTAAAGATGGGGTATATAGACTAGAGGCGTATACCTTAATGCCAGCGATGACAACCCGGTAAAACAATCATGACAATTGAGACCGGCAGTAACCAAATCAGCTGCACACATTGGTGATATAGCACGATATCTACCGCTTATCGCGCAAACTCATCCAGGGGTCTGGCTCTCGACGAAGACCTAGTCTCCCCGATATTTTGGTAAAGGGATATTGATCTCAAGCGCTGTATTGTATACTTCGGGTCTTCATCTATCTCGACTTGAGATGATGGAACCCTAGCACAAAGATTCATAAAAACACATCCTCTTTCTGGGTCCACCAAACGTGCATATCTCCAACCGTAAGTTCCAAAAAGCCACTCTTCCATCATGGCATAATTGACATAAAATTCCGACGTGCAACAAAAGCATCTCATCACCCCATCTCGAGTCTAGATACTTTCAAAACTAACGTATATTTCCTCATTCGGTATCTTTTACATATTTTCCAAGACCTGTGTGATCCTACCCATCACATGCATGACCCAAAGTGGTAAGAAGCCTCAGTGAGTAATCACATTTGTGACCCAACTAACGTGATTTATGTGCGGGAGCGATCAGGTTCTTGGAGCTAATGGTGGGATGATGAGTGAACTGTTCGAATGGTGGCCTGTGCCTTCCCGAAAAGGTATCGTCCGATGCGTGGGAGGAAGGTGCCAGCCATGTTATGAGCTTTGCTTGCAATTGATCAGATTTCACGTGAAGGGTAGAGATGAGATGTAATGAGAGGTAATGAGATGTAATGAGATCAAAGATCGGATAAGAACTAAGGAAGAATTGATAGATAATGTCGCGGTGATTTGGGAAAAGTGCCTGCCTATTGAACTGCCGATGCGCATCTGCACTCCCCTTCGTTTTTGATGATATAAAGGATTGCGTTTAATCCTTTGATGCAAAAATTGGATAGCTTTATGTTACACAGTTTATACTTTCTGTTGGAAAACGAGGACTGTGGAGCATATACGCATGGGTATAAAGTCGAAGTGTGCTTCCGAGCAATGTCTTGCCGCTGAGATATCACACGCAAACAAATGGATCTCACATCAAAGCAACGTCTTTTCTGGGAAAGAAACTTCTCCGCCAGGTACCCACTGTTCCCACCGGCAACTCCAAATAAGCAATTCGTGCAGATGACGTTGCTGTCGAGTCAAGACAAACTCCACACTGACACTGCATCTGCATATTCATTTAGAGCTTCTCAATAACCGCTTAAAACTAGCTGATGACCGGCAGATACTTGCATAATGAAAACCTTTATATTCTCGCGAGACTCCACAAACCGCTGCTTTTATGATGGAAGTGATAGAGTGGTGTGAGCATCCCGTCAAGGACGAAGTAAATCGTACATTAAAATACATACATTCCTTTCAACTTCCAAGGATCTATATCTGAGAGATTGTTTATTGTTGAGACTGAACTGAGATCTTGAGTATTCATTGTTCAAATCGATTTGAGATGACAAGGTGAGTTTATCGTTGTGTTCGATTTGTGACGTGAGAAGTTCATGCAGATGAAAATCATTTTAACAATCATCGAGGTGTACACTTATCGGCGCTCAGCCATAGTCACATGATTGAGCTAGCAACTTCTATATCAAATTCACCAAAACTACACCGAACATGTATATTGCCATACAACAAATCTCTGTGATGAGTGAGGAGGCCAAAGGATATAACAATTATCGAAAATCGTCCATGTTCATTAATTAGAGACGTGGGATTGATGACAGATATCATCGGGGTCCGAGAACTCAGACATCTGTCAAACTCAATCGCCCCCGATGGAATGAATCTTACACACGTGTGTGTATACGTGTGTTCACTTTGCCCATTTCTCAGCTCGAGATTCATCAAATTTTCTCTATCAAAGGTAGATTTTCTAAGCAATTTAGGACATGATCCGTTACAAATAGATCACTATAAATGTCTTTATATCGCTACCCTCAGCCCTTGATCATATAGCCGGCAGACCCCCCAATTATTTCTAGTCTCCTCGCTCTTATAGTTCAAATCTTCAAATCCCACAAATTAGCTCCAGGGAGCTCAATTCGCCTTGCGGCCTTCCATTAAAGTCAGGGACATCATCTCGCCAAGTACAGAGTGTTCCGAGTCGTTTTTTGATCCCATACATGGGAACTATTACCTTCTTTGATTTTTAACGAACGGTAGGAATTGCCTATACATACCTCCAACTTGTATTCCGTTGAAGCATGCAATCCAGCTGTCTATGTTTATCTAGAGCAAATACTATACGGAGGTATAGTCAAGATTATACCCACAAGCGCGGATGGAGACCGAATAGTGAAAGAGTGAGTAAATTAGCTTTCCCTTTCAGTCGAAGAAATAGATCTGTCTTCGTGTAGCATGTCAAGATTCATCAAAGACTTTGGTATGAATAAGTAGTCCGAAAACAAGTGTGCCCTTTCAAGACTCTTCAGACTAATAGAAGCACTGATATCTTACTTTCGAATCTTTGTGTTTGGTAGACTTAGAAGCAAAGCCAAAACTTTCTTCATAAAGAGTGTTTTGACCGTTGACTTCGAGAATTATAAAGATGGTCTGGCTATGAAGGAAGACGAAGTCATGGGTACCAAAACAACCCAACAGAAAAGGGTCTCAAGGCCACTCGAATGATGCCGAAGTATCTGATTTATGAGCCTACCAGCCCTATGATCTCTTTGAGATGCTAGAGGATTTACATGAATAGTCTTGCCGAGAGCTTATGGTAAACAACGGATCGTTTACGAATGTCTCTTTCCCGACCAACATGCCAACTCACGAAGAACTCCCAAAAAGGCGAGAGCCCCTAAAAATTTGACCGTAGAAGGAAAAGCCAAGCTGGTCAGATGGCTGGTCCAAACGGAGCCCTGTGTTATACGGTTTATTGATATCTTGACACAAGCGCAAGAAGATGAGTTGATTAAAAAGCACAGGCCTGTAGGAAAGGGGCATGGATCCAGTAAATGGGTAGTTCGGTTACATGTGCACACATGGAAGGCAAAGAAGAAGACGCCGCTTGACAAAGAGTCTCGTCGAATGGTTGCGGGCTGCGGTGCAAGGCTGAGGGGGAGGGGCAAAAACATCAAGGAATGCGCGAAGAATTTGCGATTCACGATAGATAACCCCGATTCTGAGGAAGACAAGATATCTAAAGCCGAGCAAGATGAGGAAAAGAAAGCCGAGAAACAACTCGAGGAAAATATTGGGGGCGATGGAACGGAAGTCGAGGATGATGAGACAGAAGAGGAAATAGAAGGGAAAAGTGGGAAGGGAAGCGAGGAGGACGGAAGTCTCGCAACAGTTGAGAGTGAAAGAAAGAATAGCAACGAAGGAAGCGAACAAGAAGAAACTAACGAGGAGCAAGTTGGCGACGAAGGATCGAACGACGACGATGCAGACGACGAAGATGTAAGCAGCGCAGAAGCCGACAATCAAAACCAAGCCATTGACAAGCAAAGTCTCCAACCCAAGAAACGCGGACGTCAATCACCTGGCGAATCGAGCAGATCTAGCAGCGGAGGAGCAGTAAAAGTTGAACGCTCTGGTATGAGTGAGTTGGCATTGAAGAATCGCATGAAGAGTCCGAAGAAGAAACAGAAAACAGGTAATGAGCGAGACGCTGAGGGGAACGTTGAGCAAGAGGTTGAGCTAGACGGCGAGAAAGAGGCTGGAGAAAACTCAGGGCTTTAGAGATTGCGAGGAGGTAGACCATAGTAATAGCACATCATCATAGGTTTTTGAGATATTAGTATATCTCATAACCTTAGCACTGAATGTTAAGAATTGGTTCACTTGGTTTTCTAAAAGGAAGCCCCAGACATTAAACAAACACGCCACTGTTATCTTAGCAAAATTACAGGTTAAATTCGTAGCTACTTCTAAAGTATTCTTGAGATTCTACCCAACTCGATCACGAAAAGCCAGAGGCCCGGGGAGAAGTGTGCATATCCTGAACTTGTCTTTCCAGTATCCATACGGCGGCTACTTTCTATGAGGAGGATTTGACATCCATATCCCATTTTGAATTATGTGATGTAATTGCGTTCATCACGTGTGCAATATTGTATTCGTATACCATTCAATGCCGGTGAATACGCGGGGTTCAGATATGGAAGAGGTCACATCAAGAAGTAGTATTTGGAAGGTGCCTGCGATAGTCTTAATGCGTGTGTGATGTGAGCGATTTATGCACATATGATATAAAACATCTATTCAGAAGAGGATGCGAAGGTCAACTGATGCCATAGGTTCATACATGATGGTTGATTTGATGCTACTACCCAGCATAGGATCACGATACAAGAGAGCAATACCCCATAGGTTCCTAAACCAATGTGTGTACCAGTACCGTATATTTCAACACTAGCATACCTCGAAACAAAACACAAAACAAAACACAAAACAGACATGAAGATGTACAACTGGATCCTTCCGCAGTAACTTTATCAGCGTAGTATCTTGCGGCGCAGAAAGGTCCACTACCCATGACAACACGATGAACCATCGAATCCACAAAGAACTTTCTTCCATCCCGAACATAATGACCGCCTTTCAGAATCCCATCTGAACCCCAAACAGCCATCCCGTTGAACATCAAACGTGGGAAAATCCATCATTTTGCTCCGAGGTATGTTTGACCCATTCTCACTGCCACCTCCACGCCAATTTCAATCCCTCTTCTGCCCTTCAACACTTCCTTCCACATGATGTGTAATCAACAAAGGATTTTTGAATCGCACGGTGCACATTGACTCATCCTTCCATCCACAGTGTACACGAGCCGCTCCTCCACATTCATCCCTTCCTTTATTGCGAAAGAAGATGGATGGAATAAGCTTGACAAGAAATCAGATCTCAGATCCTACGTTTCGCGATATGCAACAAAAGAATTTTTTGCTTCATTATTCAACCACTTACCTCGTCTCATCAGTTATTAAGTAAGCATTTCCAAATTCTACGAGACGGGGCGCAAAGTGAGATCCTAGCACGAATCAAACTTCAAGCGAAATCCTTCTCGTGTTGAATGGGTGTTTCGGGTAAGACGAGACATTCACATACGAATGTACAAAGGGAGAGGGTACCAATATACTGTAGCTTTGCGGCGAGGTACGAAGGGAAAACAACTGCCGATATTTCGTACAGTGAAGCTGCGGAATCATTTATGCAATCTCTTTGAAGCCACAAATCAATCCGTGCAGGATATGATTTAAGATGCCGATGTACAGAATGTCTAAGAGCTTCGCAAGTACACTGCTTTGACTTACTCATCTCGTAGGGCAATTTTAAAAAGACAATACTGTAGATACTAGTAAAATGTGGTAGCGAAGCCACCTTTTTGCAAAGTGCAGAAAGGCAGTGAGCCACACTAGGTAGCCAACCTTCCTTTGTTTCGATCTTAAGGCGTGCGCAAATATACTCCCACTGACACTGACAAGATACCTAGTTTACCAAAAGGAGATGCGGACCGACTTGCTAATAGTTACTTGCTATAGAATAATCTGATACAGTCCAGAAGAAAATGGTCAAAGGGAACTTCCTTTAAAATCCACCCGTAGACACCGGCGTTTCAAGCTCTGAAGTATGCTCTCTGAGGACCCTACATAGTAAGCAAGACATTGCCGGATTGAAGTAGCTTCATTGAGTAGAAAAGGTAAAGCAAGAAAGAAAAGTGTAATTTCGCACAGATGGTCTTTCAGATCAGCATTACCTCAAGGCTCATGCTAGTCAAAAGAATGGAGCTATTTTGAGCATCTCAGTAGTCTCCGATGTCAGTGTTTCATCAGCATTTGGGCAGAGATACCAGTCGGCATGTATTGTGGTCTGTGGCAATTCTATATTTCTTTCGCATCTGAAGATACGGATCCAGAAGTGAATCATTGGAGTACAACAGTCATGATTTAGACGCCGACATCGAGTTACCAGTCCAGCGAAAACAGCTGAAGAAGATTTGCGGATAATTATAGAAGGAAGGTCGCTTTGGTGGTCTGCAGAAGCGCTACCGTAGTCACGAGGGCACAACATTGATATCTGATAGCCGGGGTAAAATGACAGCGAAGACCGACCGGTAGTAAGAGTGGCTCCAATACCGAGCTTGGTATTAAGTTTGAATGGCGTTAACGCTTTTACACATCGATCTGTGAAAGATTCAATTAGTTGGGTATCTTAGGATTGGTGCTCAGAGAATCTAGATCTAAACGAATGAAGGGATGTAGATGCACTCCGTGTACATAGAAGCGGCAACGCGACGGATGGGCGATCAATTTCCATAGAATGGAAAGAGAAGATGAGACAGCCGTGCCTTTCTCTCCAATGAGAAATCTGAAGAGCTCAAGCTTCGATGTTTCATGCATACCTGCATTAATTTAACCCTGTTTAGACCAATATTTATTCATGTTGCATTTTTGGGGTGAAAGAGCTGGCCAATTAGTGATGTATCAGATTCTTAAAGAGATGATGGAGAAAGATTGTGAGCCAATCGTTTAAAGATCACATTCTTTGGAAAATGCAGTCAGTCATCTTTTTAATTTATGATTGCGGGCAGGTCCCATTCAGCAAGCGCTCGGTGTTGACCTTTCTGCAGCAAATGAATGCACCATACGATGTAAGATTGCATACGAGATAGACTACATACTGAAATGTCGAATAGCTGGAGCGACTTGATAGTCAACTGTTGAAATGTCAAAGCCTGAGAGACCAGTTGATTATCGTCGCATTTCGATTGGATCCTTCTCGATATTCCTGAACTAGTCCAGGACGTGTGATGGTGCGTCGTTTTGCAAAAGAAATAGCTACCAGTACATCATCGTGAACATCATCTTGGAAGCTTGGGACTTGGACGGAGGTAAGATCTTACAAAGGTGGGATTGTATGTATCTACCGAGTACTCTATTTTCGGGATCACTGCATCGCATCGTATAGTGGAGTCCTGTGAGATGCTGTAGCACGGGAAATATTGTGGGATTGGTTTGATACTATGGTGGTACATATATATCGTATGTATGTAAACGCCGAGTTTAATTGTTGAAGATACTCGAGTGGCTGGAAGAAGTTTAAGGATAAGAATACTTCGCGCGTACCTGCCTTCTGTTGCCCAATGCCTCCCTACCTGCCCACTTGCCTACTTGCTTTAAAATTCTTTCTTGGAATTTTTAGGACATCGGGGATTTTGTTGCGAATTGTGGGAAAGCATTGGTGAGAGATGCTTGACACGATTTAATGATGATCTTTGTAAAGTAAGTATAAAAATAATACAAACGAAGTGAAGATCATGGCTATCTATGCGGCCCGTCTTTGGAGTCTATTGTTATCACGCCGCGAAATAAACTTTTGTATCCAAGAAGAAATCCTCAGGAAAAAATGGGTGATACCCGTAATTGTCCAATGATCAATCCTCATGTTGGTTCAATCGCTTATTCTCCGGGTTCCCCTTCATCCATGATTCAAATTGGAAGAAGCCATCACGAAAAAAGGGTTTCCCTTGAACAAAGAGGTTGGATCTGTAGTTCCGTGATAGTCATAACAGGCAATACCTTGCTATAATTCAAATATATTTTGTGTAATCGAGTTTCAAGTTGATGATCAAACAGGCACCACCATTTAGGCTTGACGTTGTCTTGTTCGAAAGATTCCACATTTCTTGAAGGTAAACGTAGAGATCGAATCAAGAAATCCTCCCGAGAGCCTGTGAAGACCTTCCATTTTCGACGGCGAGGTGCTTCCATATGGCTGTGATGGAATTTTGATCAGGTGAGTTTCAGGTTTGCGATGTTCACCTCGTTACATTCTGACCCTTGATGTACGGCGCCATACTGTAGGTAGATATGACAAGGTACATCCTGTGTGTGTCATTTTGTAGGTACTTCAATGATGGCTTGCATTTGATATGTGCGGATTGATTGGAAGAATTAGAGGGGTCCAGTTCAAAGCGCACGCTGCTATAAGGTTATGCATTGATGGCGGGGAGTTATGACATGGGAAAATCTAGCAAATGATGAACGAGAAAACCAACATCAGTCAGTGACGGCTAAGCTTGGATATTCTCACCATCATCGAAAATATGGGACGTCACGCCACTGGAGATGGATGAGAAGTATCGGTCGCTCAAGTCGGCCCATCGACTCCCGATTCGACCCAAGTGCTGTTGAAAATAGGAACATCATTCTACAAACGATGCGAAAGTCGGCAATCTCAATTCAAATGTATTCGTTTGGGGTTGCATGAGTTCATGGAGCTTTGTGATGAACATGTCAACCGTACTATCACCGTCCGAAAGATCTGAAGCAAGGCCACGAAAAGATGTTTCCAAGTTCGAAGACTACAAGAATAGAAAGATTGGCAGTCATTCACAAACCTCCCAACGGCTTCAAGGAGTCATTACGAAAGTACCTGCATTTTTGAGGCCAACCGAGGTCTCCTCAGCGTCGTTTCACAATAACACATCTACCCCCCTATGGATACGACGGGCGCGGGATGACATACCAAGCAATTTCGTGACTCGCGAGTGAAATAATCCGTCGTTCTTGGAGTGGAGGTCGCATCGTTGGTCTCAACCACATGGATGGTATTCGTCAACTGTAGTCTGCCAAAAGCTTCAATCCTGGAAATTCACGGGTCTGCACACTGAGTAAGTTGGCCGTCATAGCAACGATCATCCAACGAGTTTGACGCTCAGATCGCGCGCTATTTACGCAGAGGCATTCATTTTTCGTTCTCGAAGCTGTCTATATCCACGCTCGTCCATTGAGATTGCGGATGAGATGACTAGAAGTACGATGCTCCGGTACTTCTTCTGACCCTCATGATGAGAGGAAAGCCTTAGATCGGATTTAGTCAGATTGCAAGATAGTTAAGATTCTAATCACTCCCCTCTTCAACTTTTTTCCAACCTAGATTTTTGCCTCTCCGTCACCTTAACGCATGAATCTTCTTAGGTCTTCCAATGTACAGCACTGACTAGATCATCTGTGCTTGGATATTGAAATGTCATAACGAATGTTTTTCGCCGCATTTATGGAATAACACTTCCGTCAACAACGCCCCTCATGATCCACTTCCTCCCCACGCAGAAATGTGATTTATGCCAAACATGGTCTTCCCAGTTCTTATTCAAGATCAAATATAGAAACACGCTGTCTTCAGCTTCCTCAATTGCAAGTTCCGAGTCCCCAAGCGGTCGCACTAGCTCATTTTGTGATGCCTCTCTGGAAATTTAATTCTAAATCTCGTTCCCAGTTCGAATATTACTCCGCTCTCCATGCCGACACGACCCTCCGTGCTCCATTAACTAATGGGCCAATGACTATTAGATCGTCATATCAATGAAAGAGCATTCCGTTCTGTGAGGTTCGACCGAGAAAGTAATTTGCATAGGGAGGAACCACAATTTTTACTCCCGATGCAAGAAGCATGGTCCAGATATGCAGATGGCAAGGTTACGCGGAGATTACATATCTAATGGGGTATATGAAGCCGATGCAAGTGGTGGCATAAGAGTTAATAGACAGGCACAATTATGTGAGCCTAGCAAGGGATGAAGGAGAAGCAAGAAAGGAAGAAGCATTTTCTTATCGAAAATGCAGGTCGCAAGTGATGTGGAGAAACTCCAAAGATATATATGTTTCATATTCCATAAACTTAATGCTTTGAACTATTGTACCCAGTTTTTCAAATAATAATCGATTTTGCTTAACGTTGATCTAAAGTTCTAGAGTGAGCTTTGATCTGGATTGCTTGTAGGCCCACCCCAAAACCCTAGTGAATGTGGTTGTGGAAGACAACCTTGAAACACAAATTTCCTGCCTTCCTCAGATGATGCACGAGAAACAAAGCCACCGCCTTGAAAACGGCACAGTTACATAGAGATTCCTAGGAGTTGTACACCTCCATCGTCACCAATTCATTATTGGGGTTACGCTTACAGTACATTCGGTTATGCTTCGCCTCCTTCCTATTCCCACCTCATTGCTACATCTTGGATAAATCGTCAATGACATGAAAGAAAATGGACCGGTAGGTTGTACACACTCTCTGACCATACGTGAGATCAGATATCAGGAGAGATAGCCACTCAATGGAGGAAAAAGGGAGCAGAAACTGGAAACAAGCGCCAGGAGCAGATTGTGCCGCGTGCAGTCTTTATACCCTTGATCGGAATACTTTCTCAAACACGAGGCCTGAGGTGATAGCATACCATTGATTCTTGACAGGGCTCTAATTAAGCCACCGAGAAGGCTTTTCATATTTGCCTTATTTTATGAAAGTTAGACAGAGGGATGGATGGATGGATGAATGGGTGAGAGGGAGAGAGCGAGGCTTTTGGGAAGGAAGGGTAATAAGGGATACGCCATCACTTCGTCGATAGAACCGTATGGATTTTGGAAAGGAAAATCAATCATTCCGTTGTTATTTTCTTTCTCGGGCTTCACAGATACAAGTTTACAATGGGCGGGTAGAGAGTTGCACGAAAGAATATAAATTTAGATGGAAGAATTAATTGGTTGAATCAGCAGCACAAGTCATGTTTTATTATCTGTCAGCTACTCTGTACACTGTTCGGTATATCAAATCATCAACAACCAGTAGCAGTCTTTGGACGGACCTAGTCTAATTGAACGCCTAGGGATTTCTATTAATATTTGCTCTCTCAACGCCGTTTTAATATTATTGCTCGATACCAGAATTAATGATGTCCTAGCGGTCTCTTTCTTGAGTCATTCATTCAAATGCATTTTGTGTCGTCCTATGTACGTACCTAGGTCCCAAGGTAGGCACTTCTTGATGCTTTGTCGTTTTGGATACGATCCATCGATTCGGAAATCATGCCTCCGCAACGTGTACCGGTTTTTCTAGGACAATATCAGCAGGTAAATTGTAATACCATAATTGAGGGACGCAATTCAACAGTCGAACCTCTCTTTCAATGAAGATCAATAATATGACTGATTTAATTCTAAATCGAAGACATCTTTAACGACCACTTTCTCCTTCGGTTACAGTATCAGTATCTCTTGTCTCACTCATTGTAAAAAACTTAAAATCATCTCAACGGGGCAGCTCTTTCTTTGCTCTAGAAGGAGAATGATTTCCATTTGACATCCACTTTCCCATACAAATCCACCCACCTGCCATCTCTCAATAGTAAGAGATCAAAAGTTCACGGAATCCTATTGCCGACCCCCCCAAAGTAGAGGAAGCCAGAAGAAGGAATATCGGGAAATTATACATTACATACTAGGTACATACGAAGTACCTATACCTAGGACCTACTAGGTATGATTGTTGTACGCACAGTGCACACAGACGAGCATACACACGAACACACACCGACGAAAGGACTGAAAGCCATCTACAACGCACGCACATTCACGTTCTCCTCCATCTCCGAGATTCTTTATTAGTGTCATCCTCAGGATTCTGTGCTACTACCTCCTACCTACAATATTCCATCCTTCGTTCTTCAATACCTCCCTGATCACTCTTGCGCTCACTCACCTGCATATCGCATATCGCATACCGCATACATAACCCATACGACCTTGATAACCTTCAACTACTTCTTCCCCCTGGAAGCTTGCTTCAGATCACGATAACAGCCAATCTGATCCCTCGAACCTTCCACAAACTACCTAGTAAGCACTCTCAGACCTATTAGCAATAAACCCTGTTCAACAACTGCTTGTTCAACGACCATTACGAACATTACGACTTCTCAGCAGTAACGGGCGAGCACAAGAAGAAGCAAAGAGGTTGTCTAGCATTCCTTCTCCCCCTCGAGTTTGAAGCCGGATCATCGAACAGAACGGCACTTCGTACATATCCTCTCGTCATTAATCGACGCATGAGGCACGAACTATACGATAGTACAGTAAATATTTCCACTCATTCGACCCGGGGGCATACTTTTTACCCACTAGAACAAGCAGCTACCCAAGTTCCGGAGGTTGTAGCCTTTAAAAGAGCAAGTGAAAAAGACTGGAGAAGACATCTTTTTTGAGCACAAACCCAAGCACAACCCATCCCCAATCACCAACCCCTTGACCATTTCTTACCACACTCCCCAGTAAGCAACTTAGCACCAGAGCAAAGCGAGGATAAAGCAAAAAGCCAAAGCAGCGAGCGCGATTATAATCCTTGAAAACATTACCAAAAGCAAGTTAGAACGAAAGGGGGAGGGGGAGAAAGAGTCAAGACACGACACAGAGCGGACCATCCACTCATTCCATCAGCGTTCTTCCTTGGCTACTCATACCCACCCGTTCTTTTACCCATTCCAACTGCTGTTATTATTATTACTATTATATTATTCATTATTATTATTATTATTATTATTATTATTATTATTATTATTATTATTATTATTATTTCACTCTTCTTCTTCTTCTTCTTGACCCTTACCCAGTTCTCCTTCAAGTGCAGCAGTGTGCACACCACTTTCACCCAACATCCACAATCCAAGTAAAAAAAGATCCAAGGCCCCTACCACTTTTCGACCGCGCAGACCAGGTCCAAAAAGGGCTCAGATTTGAGATTCTCAAACGACTATTAACTCAAACATTCCATCTTAAACCCCCCCGTGCCTTCCTCATCTCAAACTCGAAAAAAAATCTACGTCTCTCATTCTCGTCGCAGGTCGCCCGTACATCCAACAAGAAAACACATTCTACCCCTCAGCCGCAGTCAATTTCTTCTATTGATCGTAGCATTCACCCGAGGGTCTCTCTTCATTTACCGACCGAACGAAACGAAAAGAGTCGCGACGAAATAGATTAGATTTGTTTTTGAAAAGTGTTGTTGTCGCGGCACAATTTCCTACACCTTTTCGCTCGCCGAAGCTTCTATCATTCACTTCCTTCAGTCGTCCGGTCGACCTTTAAAACACATACACCCTTCTCTTAATTTTACCAAACCGCGATTAGACGGTTCCGTTTCTTCTTCTCTTCTTCTTCTCCTTTTTAAATACATTTAAAAAGGATTTCGAGTCAAGTTCTTGCTGGCCTCGAACCCCTCGAACGTCAACTGCTTCATCTGGCTTTATCTGTACCGGAGCAGGCCCTCCATTCGAACACCAACCCTATCATTTCATAGAACGTTCTTACGATACCGATACCAATCCAGTTCTCTGACACTCGCTTCGCTCTTCAAATTTCCGAGGATACTATTGCTTCATTAACGTCGCTGATTTCCCATTACTTCAAACATTAATCAACACGTCCCATCTTCGGTTTATCGTGTTTCTCAGCCTTACGGCCTCGCCGGTGTTTCGATTCCCCCACTCGATTCAGTTGATATCTTCCCACACAAACTGTTCTTGAGTCGTTGTTTCGACTCAATTGAATGGCGCATATGATGTATTCGCAACATCATGCGACGATGGCTCCCCCACAGAAACCAGAGACCTTCATGCTGAGCAGTGAAGCACAACAGAGCCTCCCTCAAGATGCTCAAGTAGCACTCCAACAAGTCGACAACTGTAAGTATCAAGCATTACTGCTCAGGTGAATTTTACTAACCTGACACTCAGTAAAATACTTTTTAATATCTGCTCCTGTTGATTGGTCGGCGGATCAATACATCAGACGATTTCTCCTTCCAACTGGTGAATACGTTTCCTGCGTGTTGTGGTATAGTGAAGCTGTTTCTTTATTAGGAATTTATTGGGACTGATGATGCTATAGGAACAACCTCTTTCATATTTCCGGTACTGACATTGTACGATGTCTGTCTTTTCGATTCCAAGCTTTCGGTCGACCAGTAAAGAATTCAAAGAAATTCGAAGAGGGTATCTTCTCTGATCTGCGAAATTTGAAATCTGGAACCGATGCCTCCCTTGAAGAGCCAAAGAGCGGTTTCTTAGACTTCCTATACAAGAATAATTGCATAAGAACACAAAAGAAACAAAAGGTTTTCTATTGGTATAGTGTGCCACACGACAGGTTATTTTTGGATGCTCTGGAGCGAGATTTGAAGAGGGAGAAGATGGGACAAGAGGCTACGACTGTAGCAGTCAATGAACCAGCTTTGTCTTTCGAATTCGACTCGTCGCAATCCTTGTTTGAGCAACTCACAAAGGCTCAGCAAGCCAACTCTTCATCATTCTCTGCCCAGCAACCTTCATACAATCAATCACAATCAACATCCCCAGTGATGCGAGCGATGGATTCGATGCCTCCTCCACAGATGGTTCCTCAAGCTATGGCTATGCCAGAAGAGATGAACCAAATGGCCGCTTATCAACAAATGACAATGCAGCAACAACCAATGCAGCCACAGCAACATCATCATCAACAACAAATGCACCAAGTCAAGAGAGAGCCCGATTTCAACCGCGTTCAATACAACCAAAATGGTGTCCCAATCGGGCAAACACATCAGCGACATGCCTCTATGCCTGCATACGGATTAGAGTACTCTCCCGCGCCCTCGTTCGTTTCATCACACTATGAAGATTACAGTGCTCGTGGTATTTCATTTGAACCAATTACTCCACCTCAACAAGCCCTTGGAATGGGAGCTGAACCGGCTTATATTGCAAATGAGGAAACTGGTCTCTACACAGCAATTCCGGATCATATGGGTGGTGTCAATGGCCTGCATACTATGATGCAGCTACCCCCATCAAACTTGTCTGGTCCACAATTTTCACATGCCACCAGAGGTTACGGAGCAAACAATGTCTACTCAGTGATTGAGGGTTCGCCAACGTACAAGCAAAGAAGGCGCCGCTCGTCAATTCCTCCAGGAGTTGCATCAATCGTTGCCGCTGCCGCCGCGGCTGGTCAACATTCTCACCAAGCCCACAGGCCATCAGATCTACGAAGATCGGTCTCGCACTCTGTTGGACCAGTAGCTGAAGGTGACGAGTCAGGCGAAAACTCTCCGCCTGGACTTACATACAGTAACCAAATTCCCCATCAGATGGCGCACCACAAGGAATTAGTTGATTTCTCCAGACATGGAACACCCCTTTCTACCGTCGAGGATTCTCCGCACATGAACCCAATGTCCTTGCAACAATCAGACTTTCAGTTAAACAATGATGATCTTGCAGGCGATAGTCCGCTTGATCATTCCCCTCAACGAAGACACATGCAAGGAGCAGGTGGAGTAGTGCGAAGAGCACGAAGCGCCACGATGATGGAACTTGGCCCCTATCCCCAAAAGTCACACTCATGCCCAATCCCCACTTGTGGTCGTCTGTTCAAGCGTTTAGAGCATCTTAAACGGTATGTTTCATGTTTTCATTTCTTCTTCATTTCTTTTGTCCGGCTGTAGATCAAGCCGCTGACTTACCCCCCTCCAGACATGTGAGAACCCATACACAAGAAAGACCCTACATCTGCCCACACTGCAGCAAAGCATTCTCCCGCTCAGACAACCTAGCACAGTATGTTACACATTATTTGAAATTCAATCCCAACCACACCACCACACACACACATACATACAGCATAGCAGTCCTCGACTAAATCCAATTATTGATCTTTCGAACATGAGCTAACAAGTATCCAATAGACATCGTCGTACACACGATCGTGGTGATGGATCTGAAGGTGCCTATGGCAACTACAGTGGTGAAGAAGAAGACTTCGAGGGTGAAGATCACCTTGGACCCCTCGAAGACGCTTCTCCCAATTCCGAGAATGGTTACCTCCCACAAAGCATGACGTCGAATTTCAACGGCATGCCTATGTCAATGGGAATGATGAATCCTGGTATGGCTGCCCCCAGTCAGCTCATCAATACACATCAACTCATGCAGCAACCGATATAGAGTTTGCTCCAAACTCTCCGTCGTTTGAATAATGCAGGTTTCTCGGCATCATTTTTGTTCACCACTTAGTCGACTTTGACACCTTCTACTCCCCCTCTTTGTATATGATCTTTTTAGTAGTCTTTTTCTCTATTTTGTTTCCATTGCATAGCTTTGCGAGTTCTGACGTGTGCTACGCGTTTCCGTTGGCTCTCCAAAGCTTTCATATTTACCTCTATTTCCTTTTAGTTTTTATTTGATACGGCTTTTCTATAGGCGCTATGGCCTGTCGTGTTGGTTGCAGCTGCTTGAGATTACTTTGATGATCATGATGGATTTCTTTATGAAGCTCTCAAAACCCCCATCACTTTTTGTGGGTTGTTCGGATAATTGGGAAAATTGGGTGTCTACAAAGGAAGGAAGGAACAGAAATTTCCGGGAATGGGTAGAGTGGGCAGGCAATGACAGGGTGTATATCTTGTGTATTTTGTCTTGCCTTGTCTTGTCACTGGCTAATGGACTACTGTGCTCTCTATCATGAGATAGATGGAGCGCGTAGGCCAGGGTTAGTTTTGTACGCAATGCGATTTCTTTTTATGGGGTCTCGCTAGGTTGGTAGTTGGAGTGGCAGTTTGCGCGTTACAAACTGAGAGGAGGGAAAACATCATAAGGGCGAAGATGAGGAAGGAGGTAGAGATGAACCTCCTTGTGTATAATCAAAAATGTTTTTGTATGTTCGGTCATTTTGGTCTTGGGGAGGGGGTTTATGGTGTTGATCGATTGATATGAGATCGATGAGTGGAATCGATATGAAGTGAATATGAGATGCGATGAAGAGAATTATAGACTATGTTATACCCAACTTTTACTTTGCTCGTGCGTATCAATGCTTTCATGATGTGAAATGAGAATTTTCTTGGAGTAAAAGATTTAAGAATAACCTGACACTGAACAATGATCCAGAAGATATCACTAGGTGATTCCCATTAACTTCGATCTGGTCCGTATCATCTCTGTCATTCTTCAAAGTGCCAAATTTCATTATATGTTTACTATTATCTACTTTGACTCTGAGCATTTCTTCAACAGTGGAATGAAAAGGATATACAGAAGAAAATTCTCATAGTATGGTGAATGTTGAAGAACGAGCTGTGCCAGTATCATGGGGGTTGGTTCCGCGATCTAGCAAGAGATTTACGATATTTTCGCGGGCGTAAAACTTCCCAATGGCCGCCAGGCTCATCGCAGACCTCAACTTTCAAGCTCCAAGGTTGATAGTGCGAAGATAGCTTCCCCTGGGAAGCCGGACCACAGTTAGTTTAGCGTGTATGTTTGACTATTAAATATATCGGTTATGTGATATGCATGTTCTCTGCTCAATGTGACAACTATCCTTTGTTTCCATGGTCTGTGTTGAGTGAGTTGGATCTATGAGAATGGTATCTCGAGTGGTCAACTGCACAGTTCGTTGACAGAGATTCTGCTTATGATTCAGATCATAATCAAAGGATGTCGAAGAAGCATGTCTTCTTTGGATCAAATCCCTATTTCTCTGGAAGATGTTTGAATGCACAACCTTGTTCTGGCTTGACTTGTATTGGTCAATGGATACGACAAGGAGTTGAACATCTTTAAAAGGCCTCATCGTGTAGAGTGTCAGTTGCATAATGTTCCAGAACATCTCTGAGACAATATGATATATTCATCGAGTGTAGTCTGACAAGGCTGAGGAGAAGAATACTCCAACTGTTGGGTCAGCTTGCTTCCTTCTTTGCAGGGGTTGACGCTTTAACGAGGTCATCGCGGTGTATCGCCTCATGCACTTTCTATATCGTCATTGTGCCAAGCCCACTATGTTCTCGAGTGACTTTTTCCTTCATAGTGATTTCCTTATATCTCTTTTGACCAATCTGCTTGATTCGTCATGGTGCTCTCGTACGTGTTCTCGTCCTCTTTTCATGGTCTGTAGTATTTTCCTTCTTATTTTCTCCATCATCACTGTTGCATGCTATGCATCTACTCTGGCTTTTATTACCGATTCGAGTAAGAACTACAACGAATTAATCAACTTCAATCATAAGTGATATCAATCTATTGAAATTCTGCCGCAAGATCCAAATGTTCCACCTACCAGGTTAGCACTTGCGCCTGGTGTTATCTCAATGACAGGTTCGCTTATTTGCGTTATGTTTTCTGTTTTATTATGGCCTGATGGAAAGCGCATAGGTATCTTTTGAATTGTGCTTCGAAGAATACTCAACCCGGCAGTGGGAATTTGATTTCTAACGTGGGACCCATACTTACCCCGTCTCTCCCACTCATCTCATAGGAGCTCTCTCGTTCAACGCAAAATTCTTTATCGTCTCTTGGATATATATTCTAATTAGCTTCAGCACGTCCTCCACTTTGAACACAGCATATATCGGGGAGACTCGTCAATATGACCAAGGGACTTTCGATCTCGAGGCCTGGGCGTGCCAGCTAGTCCGCGTCCCGAGTGATTTTCCGAGAGTTGTATGTAGAACGGCTTATGCAGCACGCATCTTTGATACGCATTGTTCTGTCGCTGCTTTCCTTGCCGCTTGTATTGGTCTCTGGGCGTTGAGGAATCAAAGGGATATGACTGTGAGAGGAAAGAAGGAGAGTAGAGAGATGCAGGCGTATGATTTGGGTCAGAATAGTGAGGGTAATACGGCCAATTAGGTGATTGATCTTGGTTATCGGAAGTGTGGAGGTAAGAACATCAGAAATTTGAAGAAGTCTAGAGGTCAAGATTGAAGAAAGGGAGGCGCATAACCCTTGGTAGTATAGGTCGAAATGTAAACAAAGGGAAAATGAAATTAGTAGCTCGGTTGAAATTTGAGGAATATTGACATTCTAAAACAAATGATGGTGATAAAATCTTGGAATGTCAATATGGATCTGGATACAATACAAACGCTCAATCAAATTTGCAGAGCATTAGATAGAGCTCGTCCTCCTCGTCAAGGTCTGTAGCCAAGGAGCAGATTGCATGTCATTGAAATGCATTTTTGTAACCACAATTGCCAAATCAGAACCGTACAAATAGCCTGATCTTCATGTTCTTTCTCATTTGTAAATAGGAAACTGTATTGTACAACAAGAGATTTTCAATGTTAGACCACGTCACACTGACCCCGCACTTTCACCCCCAGTCGAACTTTCGACCTATCACTCTCGTAAGTCCCAAGGTAATATCACTTCAATAACTGCATTTAGAGCTCGTTCAATTGGTACAAATGCAAAGCTTAATATTTGGCCTACATAAAACCTACTGATTCTCTCTAAGCACCAAAGCACTTCTCATACCCGACCATTGTAAACCTGTACCTAACATCATTGTTATGCAACCTCGTCAACGCTGTCTTCAATCCCTCCTCATCAATCTCAATCGTCTCCACCCAACTCTCAATTCCCTTCTCAACTGCCAAATCCAACATGGCGAGAACTTCTTTCCTGCTACCCAAATGACTTCCTCCGAGGAGTACACCGTTCTTCAAGAGTTGGAAGTTATCGATGGTTTGACCTTCCCCTTCAGGTAATCCAACAGATACCCAGTGTCCGTGAACGTCGAGAAGCTCGAGATATTCGGCCAAATTGAAACCGGAAGATGAGGAGGCAGTGTTGACGATTAAGTCAAAGGTCATGATGTGCTCTTTGTTCCAATCCTTGTCGGCAGTGGCGAGGAAGCCGTCGGCGCCGAGTTTCTTGGCATCAGCTTCTTTGGCATGGGTTCTGTTTGTAAGTATAAATTAGTATCTTTCCCATCTTAGGAACTTCATGGGGAACTGGGTGGGCGAGATCAACATACCTCGAAATAACCCAGGTCTCGGCTCCCAAAGCCTTAGCAAACATAACTCCAAAATGTCCAATTCCACCCAACCCTACAATACCCACCTTCTTTCCTGGTCCACAGCCATTTCTGACCAATGGACTATACGCTGTCAAGCCAGCACACAACATAGGAGCTGCCTGTTCACTCTTCAATCCGTCTGGGATGGGGAAGACCCAATGTTCATGAGTTCTAACGTGACTAGCATAACCACCTTGGGAAACGATTCCAGTTTCTGGCCAAACGGCTCCATAGGTATCGAGTTGATGGCGACAGTATGTTTCATTGTCATTCTTGCATTGCCGGCATTGGAGACAAGAGTATGATTGGGCGCCGACACCGACACGTTGACCGGGTTTGATGAGAGTTACTTTTGGGCCGACACGGAGGGCTTCACCTACGATCTCTAAGGACAGATTGGGAATATTAGTATATTTTCATTCTTTCACAATTATCCAATTGAGCTCTCGCTCATCCGATTTACTCCCAGGCCTAAGATTGGGAACCTAAAACGGTAGAAAGAAGAATGGGAAACCATACCATGCCCCACACAGAGTGGAAACTTTTGTTCACCCCACCCTCCACTAACAGTATGCAAATCACTGGCGCAAACACCACAGGCCTGAATTTTGATATCGACATCGTAGTCACCGAATGGTTTGGGTGTATATTCATTCTTGTGAAACTCGGTCCATTTCTTAGGATCTTCAATTTGGAATCCGGTGAAAGTATCTGGGTATCCCATTTTCGTAGATTGTGTGGAGATGAGTTTTGGAGGGGGATATATTTGGGGTGTTTGAACGGAGAAGTGTGTTAAAGACTGAGATAGACGATATGAAGAGTGGTATGAGGAAACAGAAGAAGGGGAAGAGAGAGAGGAAAAACAGAAAGGAATCTCTGAATAATAAATACTTCCTTATACACCCGCCAAGGCATCTCCATTTTCCCCCCATCCATGGGGAGAGATTCATGGGGGGCCATATGAAAGGTTTACAATCCCCATTTAAGGGCCATTCACCCCACCATCCCAGCGGGGTTGATATTTCGGGGTTATCTCATCAAATAGATTAATGGCATTGAGATTTTTTTCCGGGGTCGTTGTCGTGGGATGTTCATTTTATCCGTCGCCGGGGAAGTCTCGTTTGATACGTGGATCTCAATGCGGCTGCTTATTTTTCCACCACTCATAATGCGAAATTTGGGGAATTTCATCATGGTACATAGTAGTACAAGTAGTACACAGCATTCACGGCAAATGCTATTTTATATGTCGGTAATATCTAGATCTCAACCAACTCACTTGATAACATGCTATTAAATTAAGATATGGAATTATACTTTCTGAACAAGAGCTAGTGATTTATTTAGTTAGAAGAAAACTACACTAGAAGCTTCACTTTCGCTACCCCTGAAGTCACAGACCTATTTCGCAAGACAAAGGCGTTCATTGTCTACAATCGTGAAATTGACAAAGGGCCATGAAGCGAACTTTGTCTCAACCCACTCTTTTATACAACATAGACTCCGAGATTGGGCACTCAATCTTCAAGTAGGGTGTGAACATTGAAGTACAATCTTTCCGAGCGGTTCTCGAGAGTCATTTTATCTGCATCTCCTGATCGAATATTGAGTAGTCTCGTTCAAATGAATGAAAGTGGTGGAGAAGTATTGGCGGAGATAGACGATATCAGCAACCCTATCTCCAATATATCTATAATTGTATGAAAAGATCACTGGCTTCGAGAAGGCAGCTATCTAGGTAAGCCTTCAGTGCAGAGGCATGAGGGAAAGGAGTAAGGGAATTTTAAGGGTCTACGCCGTATGAATTTTGAAAGCCAATATACCCCGTTTGACCAACAATTCCGTCTGAGACACGCAATTGACAATGCCAATCTCGTATCGAAATTGAACATTCTTGAAGAATATAAGAGTTTTCCAAGTAAATAAGAAGATGCTTAAGCATGACCCTTGGGTTCCATTTGTTCTATCTGTCTACTATACTCTTACAATATCCATTAAAAAGAAAACCTAAGCACTCAGATGACTTCCTCCAGCCCTTTGAAAAAGTATAGCCACCTAGCGCTGTGCATGCCAATTGCAAAGTCCCTCCTTGTAGCCACCAAAACACACAAACCCCAAAATCTTCGATTCCATTCAAGCATTATAACCACCCTACGCCGTATAACTTCCTTGTCAAAGCATGATGCATCAATGCTTTTCCCTAATAAACTCACCCATAACTCCATAGTTTCCCTTGAAACTTGTTGAGCCTGGAACCAGAGAACTCCCACACTAATAACACACCTTCGATGAATTAAAGCCCATATCATACAAATTCCGTAATCTTAAAAAATCATGATCCATCAAATAAACCTCAAATCACTTGAATCCTCGAAACTTTCTCCTTGCCTTCCCCTTTCTTCCTTTTGCAGCTGGAGTGGTTCCATTCATTTCGCTTGGACCGTCCTGAACACCAGCTAAAGCTTTGACATCCTCATCATCCATTTCGCTGAGGTCATCGCTTGTGTGAGAGCCATTTGTATTTTCAACTGGAACTTCTTGCAAGACACTAGTTCCTTCAGGCTGGAAATCCTTGACATACCAAGGAATGCCCCCATTGTTAAGCACGTCTGCGCCATCTGTATTATTTTCACCATTTGAAACTGGTGGTGTTGGTGGGGTAGGCTGGTTGTCTTCTGGAGTAGAAGAATAGCCATTGGTATCAGGTGGCGTAATGCCATCACCATTTGTAGTGTGCGTTCCAATACCATGGTTAAGAAGTTGTGGATCAATCAAGTGGTCCGTGTCGGAAATAGTAGCAGACGCAACATGAATGACATCCTCGACATCATGCTCCGCATCAGCATCGGCATCTGGCATATTTGTATCTATGACTTCAGTGTTTGCAACAGGAATTTGCCCGCGTTCTACCACTCCGGGATCTAGAGTCTCAGAAGCAATCTCTTGTGATTGTGCAACGTCAATCATGTCTTCGTCTTGCGATGGCTCCGGCGCTTCAACATCCGCAAAGGTATCAGATGAGCTGTTCGAACCTTCAGCAGGAAGTAGACAGTTTTCGAGTAAGACATTCAGCACTTTTAGCTGATCCTCAGGCTTTGTCTTAACAACATCACACTCGGCTCGAATTGCAGCCTCTAACATAGGCTGAACAGCCTTGATAATGCGTCTTCCGATTTTGCGACGATTCTGCACGTTTAAATTTACCGGTTTGGAGGATGTCTTTTCGATGCCCCCAGCCGGGTTTTCTTTTTGTCCACCTTGCGGGGTGTCTTCCATAATAGCAGCAGTGATGGTGGAACTGAAGTCTTTCGCAAACGCCCCCGTAGTAGTGTAAAAGCGTTGGTTGAGCTTGTCGCTGAGTCGACTGAGACCACCGGTAAATGCCTTTTTGCTATCGATTCTGCGGTTTATTAGCTTTTGTCGCCCCCATAATTGCGCGAAACCTTACTGTAAAGCCCTTTCAATGACCGGAGGCAGTAGATGCGCTACAGGAAAGTATATCGTGTCGACAGCATCCTTTTCAACCCTTGCAGCTTCTAACTTCTTCAATTCGCGTTCTTTGATTTCTCCAGCAAGTTCACGAAGTTTCCCCATATCTTTGAGCAGAAGTTGAGCAAAATCGATACGACGTGCAAGTCTTTCCCTTCCTACGTGACCCATACCAGAGAAGTTGCGCCGGGTGATTTCCATGGAAGAGAAACTTTCCATTTGGAGTTGCAATCGCTTTAAAAGAGCTGCACCTCTTCGGGCCTCCCTCTTGAGAGTCCAATACTTACAGCAATCTGCAGTCCACTCCCTACGTCTGCGAAGATTATAACGTTGCAATGACATTTCAACAGAGTTGAAGATAACTTTTGGAATGATCGGAGCACCCGAAGGAAGTTTCCAAATACCTTTGATTGGCTCTTCCGACTGAATATCTTGATTGTATTGTAGCAATGATCCCCGAGCACCATTCAAGTCAATGGCTTCTGGATGTCTTCCTGCTTTACGATGAGCTATAGCCAGCATACCGGCAGCTTCATTGGAATCAGCCCACACACGGCCACGCATAGTCTTCTTGTAGAATCTGCGAGCTTCAGCAGTAGCGGCGACAGTGTCGTTCTCCCGAGCATGATCTTGAGGCGAATGCTTGTCACAAAAGGCTTTCAGGACAGCGTGTCCATCTAGAACTGCCAAGGTCCCATGGTTATTCTTCATCTTCAAAAATAGACGAGCTCTGCGAGCGCAAGTAACATGGAAAGCTGTGAAGCAGGCTTTATTGCCACATTGCACACATGCTCCCATACTTTGATTACAGATGTAGCAGTTTAATTTCCACCTGCTTTTCGGGACCTTCTCAACTTCCATAACTGGTTCCATGAATGTAGTGTTACCAAGAGAAACTTCAGGAATCCACATGGCACAGAGTAAATGCGACCATTTTGAAGCATTGGTTTGCTTGAAAGCTCCATCGGTGTTGGGACAGAAAATGCAAGTCTAAAGATGAATTAGCATTAAGAGTAGAGATATAGATCTCGAGGATGACTTACAGGAGTGGAGCGTCCAATCAACTGACACTTTCTGCACATCCATTGACCTTCGGGAATGAAAGGTACTCCATAGCATTCTTGATGCACAGCCAAGTCGCAACCATCGCAGAAAACAATGGCGTTGGTGTTTTCACAATCTCCGTCATCGCAGATAGCACATTTACTATCTTGTTCTTCTCCAACCTGAGCTTCACCATTAACGGCAGCAGCTGAGCTAGACCTTGGCCGATGGGTTTGAGGTGGTTTTGGATTTGGCTTTGGTATAGTTCGTTCTAGATTATGCCAGTCTTTTTCTATCTTAGTCAGAGTGACTTCGAAAATGTGTCGAGGAACCTCATCAACGCCTTCCGCCTTCCGCCTCTCATTATATTGTTGTAGCCATTTATCATCTGCCTCATCCATATCATACTCAACACGACCAAGAGTGCTTCCAATTCCATCAAGATCCTCGTTGAAGTTAATATCAGAAGCCTTTATGAATTCTTGCTCATGTCGAATAAATTCGTCACTTTCCTGATATCCTACATTTGCCATGGATTTATCAACATATTGATCGAATTCTGGGGTATCGAACTTTTTAAGGGTATGCGTTAGTCGGAACGAGGGTTGTGGCAGAGTCAACTTTTCCTTCGCGGTGGTATTCATGACATGTATACCCTTTGGTGTCTTTGGCGTCTTCGGGGAATTAACGCCAATAGATATTCCAAGGTTCGCAGCAGCTCTGGCGGCGTAGAATGCCTCAGGGTTCTTGGGAGGACGGCCAGGTCTTCTCTTGCCTCCTCCTGGTGTACCTGGAATGGTATATGGTACTAGAACCCCATTTGTACTAGGAGTAGGTACTGCGGGATTTGGAGTTGTGTTTGTGCCATTCTCACCATTATCAGCACTCTGTCCAGGTTTACCATTCGCCGATCCTTCCACTAATTGTGATGCGCCGGCGGGTGTTACAGGTCTCGAGTTTGACACTCCCTCCACTGCTTCTTGACTGAAACACATCATTTCTTGATTTATGTCTAGATCGGGATGAAATTCTTCCCAACTTCGTTCCTCTCGAGGCTTGTATCCATCATTTTGCGCGACAGCTGCAGCAGCCTGCGATGATGATCCGAATCTACCTGGGGCAGCCATGGGGGGTTGTTGTGCGCGAGGAAGTACTGTCCTTGTTCTCGTTGTTCGATTATCTCTGCGAGGGTAAACTACCGGCTGGACTCCGTTCGCAGCGTTTTCGCGTCCTATACGACCGCGAGGTCCAATATAATTATAACCCCCTGGTCCTGTACCGCCGACTAAAAGTAGATCTTGGCCGTTCTCGTCTACGTATCTGCCTCCTCCACCGGGACCGCCTGGTACGTAACGACCTTTTTTAGGAGGTTCGGATGTTGGATTTTTGATAATTGGGTTTTCAAATCGACGATTTGAGGCTGACGCGGATTTCGGACGTGTAGATCTTGTACCTGAGCCACTTGCAGCTCTTCTAGGGGTTCCAGGTGTTGGCGTCGGGGCCATGTTGATATTTAATTCACTCCGACGTATTTATGCGACAAGAATGTAAAAATGTGGACAAAGGTGAGTTTGTGCCACTAGTGCGGCAGTTAAAGCTGATGATGAATACCTAGTGTTAGGTTCCGTGAGGGGCGAGGCGCATATGGAATCAGAAGCAATAAAGACACAATCATGCGCGTCTTTCTCTTCGCAAATAAATTGAGTGATACTGTAAGAGTGAATTACACGAAAATAATGTTTAAGATATGGAGGTTATCATGATCTAGCTATGTTTGATGTAGCCAACATCTTCAGTTTGGTAGTCGCGATGTGGTTGCCCCTTCCGATTAGGTCTAGCTGACATCAAGGATCAAGTCCCATTTTGAGTTTAGCATCGGAAAAAAGTATGAGGATGTTCCGATGTATTAGTAATCTGCGTACTGATTCTACCCATTATCACAGTCCACAGTCCGTGCATGTTTCCCTGCATCAGCATCAGCATCAGCATCCACCCGCTCCAGTTATTGAACAATGAGATTGTGAGCATTGTGAGCATTGGTCGATTGTGCGAAATTGGAGTGTGTACGATAAAACGTCTATACGAACATTGGGTGAAATGCTAGTGCCTTCTCTAATATCTACCGAATACTCAAAGCTGCTTGAATAGTATCTTCATTGCTATCAACAGTCTGTTGTTCAACATACTGCCGGCTTCAATGTCCCATCCATATTCCCTTCGATCTTTCTCTTCACATGCCACCAATATCTAAAAGATAATTTTGTTGTTCTAAGCAACGTTGCTTCGTACACTTCAAGAAGTGGACCTTGACGAGACTCAGTTGTCCGTTATAGCAAACGCCCCCAGTTTTACGAACAAGGTCATTGTTCCGTTGATTTTACACCAAAAGTTTGGTCTTGGGGCGCCTCGTGGTAGTTGACAAATCCACCGTCGAAAATGTAAATTCGGCATCACCAACATCTTTAAAAAAAAAATAGAAAGCGATAAAATTGTTAGACTTGTGTAGGATTTCACTTTGAGAGAGCTCTAATCGCATCCTATATAGCTTTGATAAGTTTGGATAGTAATTGTGATGTGCAGACTGGGTTCGATTTTTCAACCTCCTCAACGCAAGATAAATAATAGATTGTTGAATGCAGGGAAATTCAAGACATTCTCTTAAATGTTCGGGGGATTTTTGGGCAAAAAAGGAGCTAGGTCCAAATGAAAGAAATATCGAATTGGAAATCACAACTCTATTTTTTGCTACTATTCTTCGTATTCATTACACGGAGATCACTTCGAATATGAATATAGTAAAGTAGACCCATATACTTCCGCAATCGTGAGAGAAAAAGGTTCAAATAATGCAAATTTGTCGTCCTTGTACTAAAGTTCTGGAGTGGATGATACGTGAGCCGTGAGCCTGGCACTCTTGCTGCTTGAGCCTGCACCTAGGTTAAGCCTCACCGACGTTCCACAAATGCAATATCAACTTCGGTATTGCATCGAAAGGATAACATAACACTCATGTAAAGCTGTGCTTCACCCACCATTCGCTGTTCATCAAGCTTATCACATCGATTCATTGGTCAACCCCGCAGTGGTATTTCAATCAGCCTATTTGACATCTCCACAATCTCCACGAGTGCGGGGAAGGACGATGATCCTTCACCCCACAACGTTCAATAGCTCGCATAATGACAAGAATCCTTCGTTGCTAAAAACCTATCGCTGTATAGATGAACCCACGATATGTCATTTCCATGGGTATTTCGCATTTAGCCATTAGTTTATCCAGAGCTCCATCTGCAGCTTCATGATGCGTAGTGCATAGGAATTCAGAGCTCCAGAATATGTGTTTAGAGCTAGTAAGAAAAATATAAAGATAGACAATTCCCGGTTATCGTCTTGCTAGATTCTGATTTTTCGTCCCTAAAACCTCGCTGTTGTGAAAGCTCATATAACAAGATATCATTTACTATGGCAGTCGGGGCTCCCGTTCACGGCGTTCACGATGCGGCTCTGCAACGTCGACAAAAGCTTATGGGCGCCAGTGGCCCAGCGGCTTTAGTTAAAAACTTTCGAGTCTTCAGTATTGCCTTGTTCGCTTGCATTGGAGGATTGTTATATGTATGTGGCTCCAAATAAATTCCCTCGAGAGAAAAATTGATTACGAAATTAATTCACATTGTGTGAAAAACAGGGCTACAATCAAGGCGTTTTTTCTGGTGTGCTCACTATGAACTCATTTATGTCTCACATGGGAAACTATGATAGCACAGATCCGGCAGATCAAAGCAGAAAAGGATGGTTAACTAGTATATTGGAATTGGGCGCGTGGCTTGGAGCACTCCTAAGCGGATTTATGGCAGAGGCATTAAGTAGAAAGTACGGGATTCTGATTGCTACCGGTACGCTTCTTTTTTTCAATTCCCAATACGTAAAGAGTTCCAGATGCCTAGGAAGAGGTGGAGTCGTTTTGAAAAGGATATTGACACTTTATGCTCAAATATAGCTGTATTTATCATCGGCGTCATAGTCCAAGCGACTTCCATCTCCGTTGGCCACTCCGCCATCTTGGGCGGTCGTTTCATTACTGGAATGGGCGTGGGAAGTCTCAGTATGATTGTCCCTATGTACAATGCCGAAGTCGCTCCGCCTGAAGTGCGCGGATCTCTCATTGCCCTCCAACAACTTGCCATCTGTGCCGGTATAATGATATCCTTCTGGATCGATTACGGCACGAACTATATAGGAGGAACCGGCGCGACGCAATCTGATGCAGCGTGGCTTGTACCAATTTGTCTACAGCTATTTCCGGCTGTAATTCTTTTTGTCGGCATCTTGTTCATGCCTTTCTCGCCTAGATGGCTAGTACATCACGGAAGAGAAGCGGAGGCTAGGAAAGTGCTAGCACAACTGAGAAATTTACCCCAAGACCATGAGTTGGTTGAAATAGAGTTTTTGGAAATCAAGGTCCAGAGTTTGTTTGAAAAGAGATCGATTGCTGAATTATGGCCTGGTCTCCAAGAGTTGACTTGGATGAATACGGCGAAATTACAGTTTGTGGCAATTGGGAGTTTGTTCAAGACAAAACCTATGTTTAAGAGAGTGATAGTAGCGACCGTTACTATGTTCTTTCAACAGTGGACAGGTATTAACGTATGTGCAATTACCTCCTCCCTTCAAGCCCTAATATGTCAACATCTTATGAGATTTCCACTAACACTTTCTCCTCTCCCTTCAGGCGATTCTCTACTACGCTCCTACAATTTTCGCCTCCCTTGGTCTCTCCAGCAACACTATCTCTCTCCTCGCAACTGGCGTTGTCGGCATCGTGATGTTCATCGCAACCATCCCATCTGTCCTCTACATCGACAAGCTAGGTCGCAAACCCATTCTTACAATCGGTGCAATCGGCATGGCTACATGCCACATAATCATCGCCGTCATCGTAGCCAAAAACAGAGATTCATGGGAGGAACATAAAGCCGCGGGCTGGGCTGCTGTGGCTATGGTTTGGTTTGTCTCTCCCCTCCCCTTCTCACCACATACTTCTTTTCTTCCTGGATCTAACATGTAAAAGGCTCTTCGTAATCCACTTCGGCTATTCCTGGGGTCCCTGCGCCTGGATCCTCGTGGCAGAAATCTGGCCCCTCTCCAATCGTCCCTACGGCATCGCACTCGGCGCCTCCTCAAACTGGATGAATAACTTCATCGTCGGCCAAGTAACACCTGATATGTTGAGTGGTATTTCTTATGGTACCTATATAATCTTTGGATTGTTAACCTATCTCGGAGCGGCATTTATATGGTGGGGTGTACCGGAGACGAAGAGATTAGGCTGTGAGTATTTTCCAGTATTTGTGAGGAATGAGAGATGATGGACGTCATGCTATTTCCCATTATTGTCGTGTTGTCTCACGCAACTTCAGAACTTCCTGAATTATGCATCTATGACGGATTATGAGCTAACAAATTAAACAGTGGAGGAGATGGACCTAGTGTTCGGCAGCGAAGGTGTAGGCCGGGGCGATCTCGAAAGAATGGAAGCTGTACGTCGCGAGGTAGGGTTAGACAGGATTCTTGGGGAGAGTAACACCGATGGTGATGTATCTCCAATAACGGACATTAAGAGTGATCGGGCTGAGAAGGTTCACGAGATGTAGATAAAGTGGATCATCATTGATACATCAGTTTCATGGGTAGTTTTCTAAGCATTAGGAAGTGTAACAGTTTAGGTATAATGGAAGATATAATATAGGTGCTAGGTTTGTATTCATTTTCTTGTATTAGGAGGTTCATTATCTATATGTACGCGTAAACACCTAACTCCCAACTGCCAGTTTGTGGTATATCCCTCTCGCTACGCCTACACACGTCCACCCCCCTTCCATTTCGTAAAGCAAAATCTCACAATGACCGCACAAATTGAAAGCAGAACAAAAACGCGTGAACGGAAAAGGAAGTCCCGGAGTTCAAAATGAATGAGCCAAAATCTATATCAGTCATGGCCCTATGTACGATCAAGCCGATGTGTCATCTGCCTTTCTTGTCTTCACGACATCCTTTGCACCTCCGTCTATTCCAGAACTACCTCCTTGGTCGTTGAGTAATGGAATCTTGTCCAGGCTAGTACTTCTTAGGTGACCTGGTCTCTTTGTCTCGCCATCGTTACTTAATATTTCTCCACCCTCAGATCTGGGTGTCATCAAAGGAGATGTCATTAATTCGGGAGTATTATGCCATTTCTGAACTTCTCGCTTCATCTCCTCAAGCTCGTTTTGGAAACGTTTGCCAAAGACTTCGATGTAATAATTGGCGCCGTTGTAAACAGACCAGCAGAATACTGCCATGAGGAATGACGCAGACGCATATCGGTACCAGAACCATAGAGGGCATGGTAACATGGTGAGCAACGCATACGAGTATTGAATAAGCATAAATGCGGGCTCTTGCATAGATTCAGGAAGAGCGAGAACCGCTTTGCCAATCCAGACTTTGGAGTATGATTTTAGCAGCC